TTCAAACATATTCCCATGAGTAGTTTTAAACAAAGTGCAGTAAACCGAAAGAGAGACCATCCTTTGACTTTAGAGCAAAACCAGTTCTCTTCAGTGGGTTTGCACACATTCTTTTTTTAAAGCTACTTGAACCAGTTTTTTCTGTTTTGCTGCCTCTGTGTTTTCTGTTTCTTCATGTGAACCCTGATGTGACGGGTTGTATATACTGGCTAATTGTTTCATGCTAAGGAAAAAAGATCCTCTATAATCACCTCTAACTCTTTCAGGAGAATGGATGCATTCTTCCTCCCACATTGAACTAAACTACTGAAGTCAAATATTTTGGCAACTTATACCAAGGCCATTATAATTTCAACACAGAAATGCTGATTCTATATAAATATCAACGATGACCAGTGATGAGTTTAATAGCTGTCCCCAATAATTAATTGAATTACACTGTTGTAACTGTGGTAAATAGTGTTAGGTAGTAACATATGTGATTTGTTTTTCAGTTGTATAAAAATCCAATCTAAATTTGTTAGTTTTCGAGCAACATGTTCAATAGATTTTTGTAGGCAACCTGGTGGCATAGTATTTGGGATGCTTTATTTCATTAAGTAGAGTTTAACGCATACACATACAAGATGGTATGGTCTGCAGTGATTATAGATTTTGAACAGACAGCTTGTTTTAGAGGAGTTAAGAGTATACAAGGAGTATGAAATAATTAGCTATTTAAATGGGAAACATACTGCATTATATAGTACTTTTCTTGTCTTCACAACCACTCAAAGCGCTTTACACTACAAGGTACATTTATCTGTTCACATACACATTCATGCAGTGCTTTCATATGCAGTGCTTGTGTGTGTGTGTGTGTGTGTGTGTGTGTCTGCGCGTGCAACTACATTACAGATGCTCTTTGATCTCTGCAGATGTATTTTCGTCTTTTATTTCCGAAGTCAAAAGGCAGAAGGTTTGAAATGTGCCATAAACAGCTATGACTCACAAGCCCCCGAATCCCCCCATGGATTAGATGGAAGAGTCAAAGCTGACACACAAAGAGAGGAAATATATCTACCTCTTTCCCTTTCACTCCTCCTCAATGTGTCATTTTTACGTGAGCCAACACAGACACACACATCCATTTCATCCTGGTACCTCATTCAGTCCTCCCTGTCCTTTCTCTCTGTCGTCTGCTGAATTTCTAACTGACTCTCAACAGGATAGGACTGGCGTTCTCTCTCTCTCTCTCACACACACACACACACACACACACACACACACACACACACACGCGAACACACACACGTCAGCCTGCATTACTGACTATCCCTCTGAGGTCTGCACAGAGAGAAGCAGCTTAAGTGAATAAGGCCTATATGGGAATGTGGTAAAAAAAAAAAAACAATCTAACAACTAAGGTATTAATCAATTTGAAGCAAATTAAAGCTGTAGTCTCTGCCAGTCTCTACCACACTGGTAATTTGACTGAGTGCGCTTTGAATAAATAGAGTGATGGTTGAGATAACTGTGAGCCTCTACTTCATGCATTAAACATTTAGGCTTGTACCCTTCCCTGTAACTTGTTAATTCTTGTTGCTAGAGTAGGTTTTGTATTTGAACATTACACAAGAGGATAAACATGATAGATATGAACTCTAGGGAGCTGTGGCTGCCCTACACATATATACGCAGAAACAACTCTTTATACTTTGTGCCACAAAACATCAACTGTACAATTGTACATGCTGCAGAACCAGTGTAACAGCCAGTAAAAGCTGTCTCATCTTTTTCTGCAGTATCTCAAAATTGATGCAGTATTGATTTGTAGATGACAACTGAGATGGAGAATATATTAAAATGCTATGTTAACACCAGTTTGCAAGTGTATGTTTAAGTTTGAATGTGTGTGTGTGTGTGTGTCATCTTGCTGATGCATGTAGATGCAGAGAATGGAGTCAATATCTGCTTAACAAGCATGTCTTCAAGGAAAGCTGACCTCAGATTAATCTGTAGCATTGCTCAGTCTCTCTTCATGCCAGAGTGTTTACGTTTAACAAATGCAGCTCAGTCGAGGAGAAAATTGAAAGTTAATTTGTCTATGTGTGTGTGTGTGTGTGTGTGTCGATGTTTTCGATAAATCAGGGCAGTGCTGTTGATTTGCTGTGAGTGAAGACTGCCATTACTTCCAGTTCAGACATGTGTTCAGCATGAGGAAATATTTACATTTCCAATACTTAGTAGAGACATGATTTTGATTTACTTGGGCAACATGATGCATCGACCTGCAGAGTGGCAGAGCCCCTGCCCATCCCCCGTTCTAGATGTATGCATGTGCAAGGTTCAAAACATGTAGAAATGGCAGTATAACTAATGGTAAGCTCTGAATGAAAATGAATATAGTTTAATTTAACAAATTACTTTATTATCATTTATAGTTTAGGAGTAAGGCTCATGTTTTCTAAGTTAGCTTTGTTAATACAGTGCCTTAATGTGTGTGTTTACATTTTGTATGTCAAGACTTGCTGCATAATAAATGATGTGTTGCTGTTTTAAACGAGACACCAGAGGTTGTTGTATTCCTCTGTCTCTCCCTGTCTATGCCAGCACAATTCTAAAGGGTTATTGATACAGTACATACATTTAAACTGAAACTCTATTGCACTTTTCAAAGGAACTGAATATGTATTTTTTTCTCTCATTCTTGACAGTGCATTGTGTGACCCTGAAGAGGCAGAGCAACTGTTTTAAGATTTATGTTTATTATGTAGGCTTACAGATGTTTTAACTTTATAAATGTTTATATTGATAAATAATCAATAATTAATCAATAATCAATAAATAAATATCCATGAAATTATTTTAGAGGACAAGAACATATATATATATGTACATATTTATAATGTTGGCAGCCTTGGTAAAGTTTGGTATCTAACAGTGGTGGTATGTGCATGTTCTAAAACGGTGGTTGTGGGATTTGAACATGCGTACATCTGGAACAGTGGGACCTCCAGCTCTGCAAGGAGAAATTGGTTATTTTACATTTTCTATCTCTGCTTTAAAGGGACATTCCATTTCACATACTGTATGAGGATCAATTTATTTTTCATTAGGATTAGTTCGCCTGTGAAAACATTTGCATAGTGCCTCATCTGACTTTGGGGACAAGGTTGTGAAGTCACACATAAATAGAAATTTCACATTGAGAATTTGGAGGTGGAGACATGGGAGTAAACCAGGAGCAGGAGGTTTCAAGGCAAGAAATAGACTGTTGACATAAAACTACATCCTGTGAAGCAAGGGTCAGGTGACCAATGGTGGTAGCTGAAGGGTGCTTCTGCTACCCAGTTAATCTGCGAGCGCTTTTACAGCCGGTAGATATTTATCTGCTGTGCAAACTGTTGAATGTTATCTTACACAGCAGACTGGGTGTGCATTCGCCAAAATATGCTATTTAAAAAAAGGTCCAATTGAGAAACTGCATTTTTTTTTAGACAGAACCGCTTAAAATAATGTTTCCTGAAGGCTTAAGATCAGGGCTGTAGTCAGGGGAAATGCAAACAAACCCTGTTTAAGTATCTTTTTAAATGCAAAATAGCATTTACACACATTTTTAATGTTGTTTACTCACTTGTTATTGTCCAATTTTTTAAACTTTGAGTCAAATTCAACACCATTGTTTACTGAGCATTATATGACAGTTCAGTTGCAAATGGTAAAAGGTGGTTGCTTGTTTATCAGTAAGTAAGATTAAAAACATTCCTGTGTGAAGTTTGATGAACTCAAACAGGATACATCTGTAAGACGTGTATCTAGGCTAGCTATCTAAATCATATTCTAACAGCTACATTTTAAAATTAATTTCCAATGATGCTGGCTGGACATTTATTCGGCCATTTTTACAATGAATGCACCCTGTGTATGTTGTTATGTGTTATTACCATAGACTGTATTACACATGCATTAATGTAGAATCTGGATTTTATTGCTGTCTGTTAATATGTTTTATAAGCAGAATTTGTGAAGAAACTAGCAACTAGAGCTTGATAGAAAATAAAACTTGGTTTATATGATACGATTTCAGTTGTTGGGTGCCTGAAGTTCATCCACTTTTTTAATAACAGCGTGAGAGAGCTGCCAGAAAATGATGGTTTACCCACCTTTATTTTTTACCAGTACAGCACTGCTTAACATGGATGAAACAATTCTTATGTTATGAGAAATGTGAAAAATATTCGAACATTCCTTAAATATTTGCATGAATCAGATCTGTTTCTCTCCTGATATGTATATATATATATTTTTTTTTGCAATGTTCACATCTATAAAAGTAGATAACAAAAAAATACAACAGGTTGATTGACAGCTTTGTCTCTTATTGTCACTGCTGACTCATCTCCCCAAGACCATTCGTCAGGTGTCGCGGGTCACAGGGGTTTGTGAGAAATGTCTGATGTCACCTGAAGTGTTGGTGTATGAGTTTCATTTAAGAAAAGGTTCAAATAAATAGTACTAATTGATGATTGACATTTCTTTTCTTATGACAGTGTCGTTGAGCTAAGGCCATCATCATCATTTTTTAAGCCGATAAAGGGCAACGCAGATATACATGTATTATAGTTTGAGGGAAAAATTGGTTATTGTACAACTGTAGTAGAGAAACATAAAGGAACAGAAATACAAATATAAAATGAAGCCAATAAGAGATATACTTTTAGATGTACCTCCGCATCACACACTGCAGTCACATACTATCAGACACATTGTCGTGTTTGACTCATTTGTTTTCTACATACAGATAAATGCTTTGCTACACTGGGCTAAGGCCTTTGTGAGGTATGTAGCATTGATTAACAGAAAAAAGGTGCAGCAACAATGGACGTCATTCACTACTATGACCCGGGTTGTAGTTCTGCCTCACCTTTCTTCCCTCTTCAGTCAAAGCACAGCATTGTAATTTATTGAGAGAAAAGAATGCACTGAAAAAAGACGGGTAAAAGAATGGAGGTGCTGACCTAGACCACCAGCTGCGATGACCCTTCCTCCCAGGCAACCTGCCACAAAGTCAGCCCGCTTCTCCCTCATCCTGGACATTCGGCTGGGTTTGATCCAGATGCCTGTCGGAGGAGAAAACACAGTCAGCCATGACAGAAGCGAAAAGTTTCTCATTTTGAGGGAATAACTACACAACAAAGTACTGTATGTACACACTCACACATCAAAAATGTGAGCATCACATTGGACAATATTCTGCTGCAATATTTGCTCCCATTCAGCCACTAGAGCATTAATCAGGTCCACAATACTGTTGTATGATAAAGCCACAGTCATCGCTACTCGTTTTAGACCATCCTGTCCCCTGTTATTGTTTGCAAAAGCTAATGATGACATAATTCTTACCATAAGGCCATACATCATTTGATCTATCATAAGCTGTAGGTGCTATAGGATGAAGCTACAAAAATATACTCTTTAACTATATGCATGGCGTCATTTTTGGATTTCTTTGACTTCTCTAGGATGTCACTTGAATCAAATGTTGTTTTATGATTATGTTATTGGGTTGTTATTTTGTCCCACACAGACTCACACAAAAACGCAAGAAGTGATCACCACCAACAGCAATCAGCTGCAAGACTTAGATTCAATTATAGTTGAGCGACACCAGGGACAGAGTTCTCATTTTAACAACTGATCCTCTAGCCAACATTCACATACAATCATGAGCTCTTTAAGGTGAGTTTAAAAAAACAGAAGCTAAAAGATCCCACGATGACTGTATCATACTCTCTGATCAAGAGAGGAGTTCATCAACTTCATAGAACATCAGTATGTGAGACGAGCAGTCTGCTCTGACGTCTCACCCGACCACGACAGCTGCTGCCTGCATAAGCAGCATGATAGTGGATCACGGTGTCGTTCAGTCGATAGATGGGTGGGTGAACAAATGAATTGTCATTTGACAACACAATAAGCTTAGTTCCGCTGAACAGACGGGTGTTTGTTTGTTAATGTACTTTACTGCAGCCAAGTCTCCGAGCACTGAGGACACAGACTGCCAGTTAAAATGTTGCCAACATTGAGTGTGACAGACACTAGAGAGAGGGGGATGATTGCAAAATTAGTTTAACAAAACAACTGTTGCTGTTGTTAGGAGGCAGGTGCAGTTGTTCTGTGAGGCATTTATATTGCTGCTGCTTTTCTGTTGTTTTGTTTTTTTAACTAACGTTAAAATGTGCTTTCCACTACCGAAGAGACTTAAAAGAAAACATCACTTTGGTGGAAAAACTCCCTATTTTTCTTAGTCAGCAATAACCATAGAGGAAGAGAGGAGGAGGAAAAAATAAGGAATCAACAGTTTTTCAAAGGAGAGGAGAGGGCAAATGTTTTGCAGTGCTGCTGTAAAGGAGGCTGCAGGGGAGTAATGGCAGAGTTGCAGAGCAACTAAATGATAATCTCTGAGTCAGAGGACGGACACGCAGAGTCCCCAGCACCAACAGATCCGCTGGCTGCAACAGATCATCTATTCAGCTGTGGAAAAGACCAGACAACAAGCAAACATAGTGCAGATATACAGGAAGAGACAAGAGGCTTGTGCTTTTAAACAGGCATGCAAGCTTGTAACTTGTTTTTCCTTTTCTCCTCCTCAGTGTTTCAGCCATCTCTGGATTCAGTTCAGCCTCTGCACCACTTCTCTGATGGGCCCACCAGTGTGTGTGTGTGTGTGTGTGAGAGAGAGAGAGAGCTGAAGGAGGGGAGAGAGTTTGTCTATTCACAGCGTGGATCTGCTCTCCAGGTCTGTGCTCCCCCAAACACCCCCCTGGGAACTGCAGCCATGGTGGGCAGCCTGAAACCCATGATGTCATCCTCAGAGCACAGGCTAGCAGCGTGAGAAAGTGCACAAAACACAAAGTCAACATCACAATAACTGTAATTACAGTTGAGCAGCTGTGGTGGATTAAGGGGTTCTCCGATAAAGTACGGTGCAAGTGTAAGGAGACGCAAAGAGAGAGGTTTGCCTTAACATAAATTTGACGTTCAACAAAAAATTCCACACTGGCTGTTTGAAATGTTTTTAGTTTTGGGTGATAAATATCAAACCTTCAAGCTGCTTTCAGACATGTGTATGATACCAACCGCCGGGGATCCTCTGCTGGATTCACCGCAAGCGAGTCAGGGGCACTTAGTGATGTAAGAAATATATAAGCTACCATCAGAGGTCAGATCGAAGCTGTGTGTGTAATTTAAGACTTTTTAAGGAGCTGCAGGAACCCTGCTTAAGGTGGGAGTGGAGTTTTACTCAAGAATTCCATGTATGTTTTTATTCTTCAGGCTTGTGGATCAGTGCAGCTCCAGAAGATAAGAGATGACCTTATTAAAGCCATAGCTGAGACTAAGGCTCTCAGACTTGATGCCCTGGCCTAGCTGGCTGCAAAACACCAGAAGCTCAAGAGCACTGAGGCCAGGTGTGCAACTCTGGGGGCATACCTGCACCACGAGACAGCAAAGGCTGATAAATGCTAGAGCAGGGCGGAGACTCTGGAAGAGGCCAACGTTGCTCTGAAGGAGGAGTGGGAACTTTTTGAAAGAGCTTGAACACAAGGATGAGCTCATAATATATGCGGTTGAGACCAGGAAAGCTGGTGGAGCTGACTCAGACCGGAGAAGAGTGCAGCAGTGAGGTGGAGCACGAGACAGAGGAGAGTGAACACAAATCTTCAAACAAGAAAGCAAAGAACAATAAGCAGCTGCATTCGAAGAAGACGAAGAAGAGTCGAAGGCCTCATGGTTTTTACTGAAAACTTGAACCCTTTACCCCTTCTTACCTTAACCACTTCTCCCTTTCCCTTGTCTACCGCCCCGTCTTACCCCTTTCTCTCTCACCCCTTACCCTTCACCTACTCCCCAAAACAAACCCTCTAACCTCTGTGTGCTTTTGTAAGTAAAGTAATGTAAAAAAAAGCATCTTCCTGTGTACATAACTTTTTGAATACACACAGACAGAGGATTCATGGCTCTGATCAATTACTACACTATTACAGGGTTGGTGATGTCAATTCGACAATACATGTCAACATTTCATTGAAGTTTGTGCGTGACTCATTTTGGTGATGAAACAAATCTTAATGCTCTCAAAGATGTCTGGGTCGGCACGGTTCACTCTGAGAGGGACACAATATAAACACCATATACTGTAGATTTTAAGAACAGCTCCTTCTTTAATGGTCACACTCCTGAATGCAATTAATCAAAGCTTGATTTAAATGTCCAATATGTAGCTTTAGCTACTAGGAGTCTCTCATTTAAAACAATAACCAAAGACCTAGTTTGATGACATTGTGTTCACTGATGATGTAATATGACGTTGTTTTCACCTCATGGAGCAAAGAGCAATGAATAATCATCCTACATTACGAGTGACCAATACAAACAGTTGAAGGGAAAGGATTAAGATCGATTAATCAAGTGATTGATTAGCTCAGACAAACATGAATCTGAACCCGCTCTCAGTCAGGTCGGCTGTTTAACACCAAGCATTGTTTTAGTCAGTGCTTGTTTGTCCAAACATGATTTGCACACACACACACACACACACATACTAAGCAGTTTTTGAACGTACTCTGGCTCATAACATCTACAACGGATGATTTCCCAACACACTCCTTCTGGTTACAGATGCAGAACTTACACCACTGGGGAACTTTATTAGAAAGGCTCAATTGAACAATTTTATAAATGATGAAACTTTGCTTGAATCAAATCCCTTTTTGCAGTCCGGACAGAAATCTACCTGCAACACATCACCTTGATCACATGAAGGTGTATGAGTCATATAGAGAGGTGGTGTATGTATGTTTTCTCACACACTGACCTGTCAAACAATCATGCTCACACACTGCCGCTCACAGGGCTTGACAAGCAGAAAGTGACCAAGAGACCGAGCCAACCTTTCTCCAACTGAAAAGAGAAATATTCACATGCAGTATTTCTCACAGCCACTTGAAATTTTAAGAGGACAAATGAGCCACTTAGAGGAGGGGATACTGCCATTTGTCAGCACATATCATTAATTCAGCCTCTCTAGCCAACTACAAACTTGGGGATGGTTAACGAGCTGTCCATAATTTACTTTGGCCAACATTTCCCTTGTTCCTGTTGGAAAAACCGACTGCCTGAGCTGCACACACGGAAAGAGGTGCTTGCTCTCACACTGACTGTGGTAGTGAGCAGGAGCAGCTGAGTGACGTGTGGGGCTGATATCTGCCTGAAGGACTCAGCTGGAGGAGAGGGGGATGCGTTTATTTAAAGCTCCGAATCAATCCTCTTCCCTCTTCTGTTTCGCTCCCTCACAGACACCAGCACTTTACTCAGTCCACAATTTCACCTGTGCATACAAAGTAATTCATGCTATACACACACAGACACACACAGACACACACACACAGTGGAAGGATATGGTTACATCCCACCTGACACCAGTTTCAAATGTCATCATTATAGAAATAGAGAAATGGAAAGATATTGGGAAGGTTATGGGATGTCATAGTCAGGTTTGTCATAGTTCACATTCTTATAAATGAAAATTTCAGGCAGACATCCAACACCTGCGTCACTAGTGATCTGAATTCACAAGCTCACTTAAACCACAAAAAAACCCTCCTTTTCCAATGATTGAGAATTCAAGATATATTCAATTTAAAGGTTCAGTGTGTAGAATTTAGTGACATCTAGAGGTGAGGTTGCATGTTGCACCCATTTTCTCCACATCTTTGAGGTGGAGAAACTATCCAGAGGTTTTAAAGATTGCATAATTGATGACTGCATCGAGTTGAGTAAAGATTTACCCAAGGCAGACTGTCGTATAGCTCTATATTTTTATGTATGATGTATATTAGCTGTGCCTCAAATTGTTCTTAAAAACTTTTGAGGATTTGCAAAAAGGTGCCATAGAAATAATGATTGTAATAAAATATCATTAAGTCTAGTTTGTACAATAAAATATATTTCCTTGTTCTAAAGTCCATTGATGAAAAAGTACAATTCAAACTGAAGTGAAAAATTAAACACAATATGAAGGTGCAATTTCACATCTTAGAATGCAATATATTACCATTAA